GGGGGGGGGAGAAGACAAGTGGATGCACTTATTTTCTTCGCTTTCTACTCTTAATCCCTTTCTTCCTTCTCTTCACACTCCTCCTTCGTCTTCTCCTTCTCTTTCTCTCTATCTCTCTCCTCCTCCTCTCTACTCCTCATCCTCTTCCTCTTCTATCTCCTCTACCCCATCCTCCTCCTCTTCCCTTCTCAATTGGTGTATCTGTTTTCTATTTTTTCAAAGCAGCAAATTACTCTTTATATATAGATAGCTTACCACACTTCCAGTGACCTGCTGCCTGACTTTGATGAAGAACTTGAAGAAGAAGCTCAGCGCTAGAGAACGTCTGTATTCGACCACACCGCCCGGTGACCCAGGGGCTAATGGAAGGTCCCTCGCGAGTAGTTCGTTTGTCTCTGCAATGAGGCCTTCGTTCCACTCCCTTGGAGAAGCGTAACAGTGTTAAAGTTGGCTTGAGTTTCAAAGTAGTCATACCGTATACAATAGAAAGAGCAGTTTCTCATAAGTAGATTCAATTTAATAGTTATAGAAAAAAGACGCATACATTGGAAGCCTCTCTAATATTCCTGTATGCTCATACAAACCATAGTCACATAGCCTGTGGTTTAGCATTAGCACCAAGGACATGCAGTTTAGCCTGTGTGGACCTAGCAGGCTTGGAGTAGCTCATCCCCTAAAAGTTCTAAATTATGTCAATATGAGCGTAAAAGATTTACAATTATTTACGACCAATGGCGAGGTTCAGACAGAGTTGTTGCTGTCCACTGTTCACAGAGCTAGACCTACATCTTTAGCTCATTCCACGAAGAGGACTCTCGAAATTACATACATTTCATAATGTATAATTCATTATAATGATAAATAGCATTTGTAGAGCACATATCCCTGCTTAACATCAAGCGATATGGGCTTTACAACTTTACAACCTAAATTATTACCCCATCAGACCCCAGAACCCTTTATAAACTTTCTCAGGTTCCCGGGAGGCATACACTGCAAGCAGCCGAATAAGCGCTCAGACAAAAACACAATTATAAGATCTTACGCTATCTTCAGCCGGGTACTTTTAATTAAACAAATGCACATTTCTTTCCACACTTACTTGCCCAGTAGCCCAGCCATAGTTTCCTCTGCCAGCAGCGTTGTGACTCCCATGCCCCCGAACGCTAGAGTGGCTGAGGTTATCGTGTTGTCCGCGGACAGAACTACCCTCATCCCTGCATTCACCAGAGAGATGTCGTCTTCCTTTCTGTTTGCCTGCTTGTAACCAGCGAAGTACTCACGCTGAAAGCATGATTTCGGTTTTTAGTTTATTTTTAGATTTATAGTGAGAGTTTTACAGCGCTTGCAACACAATAATTGATAATAAAATACTGAGATGTTACAAGAGAGTAACATACATGTAAAAGAAGGAGGAGCGATAAGGACAGTCGATGCTTGATAAGAAAGCAGGAGCAAACCACAAAACACTAGAGCACCCAACAACTAGCGTCCTATTATTCCCATTCACAAAAAATACAACACATGCGAGATTTGCCATGGCAGAAATGTATATAACAACATAATATAAAAGATCAGATAACCAATAATAAATATGCCGCGTGTGTCTATATTGGCGTTTCGGTTTTGAGTGTTAGCAATGTCTTTGTTTTTCCAGAGATCTTGGAACGTGATATGCCTACTGATGACTCTGTTTAATTTGAAAATAAATTTCGACACCCATTCTTAACTTTAATTCTTAAAGGCGTCTTTTAAGGATTTACGTCAAGGTGACCCAAATGTTGGCTCCATAGAAAATGGAGACCGTGGATTTGCACACAAGGTCAATACTAAGCTCTGGATGGAGGGGGTAAAGTATACTCTTAACCTTTTATTTATTATTTTTTTTGGGAGGGGGGGGGTGGGCATTTATGTAAATCGCGTCATCTGTTAAAAATACCCCATTCAGAGACGTTAAAGAATTTGAGTTCTGTCTAGTGACTAGAAACGTGTGTTTGTGATCTGGATTGGGCTTAAAGATGTAAAAAGAAACATGCTTAAAATCTTTTTAATTCGCAATTTGAGGAAGAAAAATTTGGTGCAGGGCAATTTGACCTGTTTAGGGTTTATACAATGTAATCGTACTTTACCTCGTTGGTGAATGGAATCGTGATGGACACGAGGATCTCATCACTTGCCACGGCCGTCTTACGGTAACCTTGGAAAAAGTTGTTGTCCATTGCTACAGTGCGCGATCCTCTCTCTGGAGATCAGAAATAGAGTGAGAGTGAGAGATAGATAGAGAGAGAGAGAGAGAAAGAGAGAGAGAGAAAGAGAGAGAGAGAGAGAAAGAGAGAGAGAGAGAGAGAGAGAGAGAGAGAAAGAAAGAGAGAGAGAGAGAGAGAGAGAGAGAGAGAGAGAGAGAGAGAGAGAGAGAAATCTCTTATTTCAATCAGCTACATAATATTATTTTTGTCCTCATGTTTTAATTTGAAAATTATGAGGGTTTCTTTTTTTCTAATATCACAAACTCTTCCTTTCTTTTCTTTTTCTTTTTTTTTTTGGGGGGGGAGGTTGGGAGGTATTGTTTTTCAATTAAATCATCTTTTTAATGAGTATGGCTGTGTCTAGATAGGAAAGGGCGAAAAATCAATAATAAACCATTAAACCTATAATTATTTTGACTAGATGTTTTCTTTTGTTCTTTCTGTGGTATTTTCGAGTAAGAAACCTAAAAAATATCGAACTCATGACAGTAAATCTACACCAAGTATAATGTGTTAGCCTTTATCTTGGGCTTACGATTTGAACCTTACTCACGGTTTTCGTTCAAATTTTAACACCCACTGACTTGATTTAATTATGTATAATCAACCGATTGAGTGTTACCTTTGGAGAGGAGTGAGAGAGTGACACCGGCCGCCAGGAAAAGCGGGTTGAGGTCAGAGATAGGACTGGCCGTCATGATGTTTCCACACACGGACTGTACGAGAGAAAACATAGTGAAGATGAAGACTCATTTTAAAAAATAATAAAAAATTGATAAGTGTCTTACGGCGCTCGCAACTGCATAAGGTGATATGAACATTTTTAACTGGTAGGAAATTTTAAATTTTGCCCGGGTGGCGGCCGACGCCTACTCTTATCGATATAAGACCACAAATGGATCTTTAAGGTGCTCAACTTACACACAGGACCTACGACATTTTTCACCCTTGTATGAGAAAGCTAGGTGTAGATTCTTCCTACCAGAAGAAAAGGGGTATGGCTGAAAGACAGCAGTAACAAGGAGCCAAGGAGTAGAAATAGAAAGGTTGCAGAAAGAAACCGGAGCCCAGAAAAGGGGCAAAGGAGGAGAGGGGTTGAGGGCAGAAAGTAGAGACGAAAGTAGATGACAGAACATTGCCAGAGAGCAGGAAAGCAGATGAAAGGAGACAATATAAGAGAAGACAATTTTTCCCGTCGCTACCCGGATTCGAACCTGGGACCTTTTAATGAGAAACGAGCACCTTAACCTCTAGGCCACGAAAGCCCCGAAAGACTCTTTAAAAAGATGAAACGTTTATAAAATTAAAAAGAAAGGAAAAGTAGCACTTCTGACCCAGCTAGAATTTGCTGTCAATGACGTGCAATACATTATATCAATGTGTGAAGTATAGTGAGGTATTGTGGTACGGTCTAACGTCCCTATAAAACATTTATTGAGGTTATTTCGCTGGCGGGATAACAGGGAGGAGAGAGGTCTGTTGCAATAATACGAAGAATGCACAAAAAAGACGATCAAAGACAGTATTGCTGATCACAACGAATCAAAGGGTCTTATTGAAATTTACAATTTAGCAGAGGGGCCTCCGTTAGGTCGTCTTTTAAGATACTTGGCTCCGATGTTCCGATGGGTTGTACCATTAACAAGACATACTGTTCTTGGTTTTATAAGGGAGACTGCTTACTTCTCCTTCAATCTAATTCCAGTGGGAGCGGCGACTTGAATTCGCTATTTTCATGATTTTTTAGAGAAATTCACGAATTCAAGTCGACCTGTTGCTTATGCATCGGAATACATGACACTGGGCGACTCAAATTGTGAAATAATAAATTTCGTAACAAATGAAAGGGTCAAAAGGGAAAAAAGAGCGCAAAAGAAAACCGTGTTCAGTACGTCAAGTATTCGTGAATTCCACATTCTCGTGTTCCAAGAGAGGGTTCCTAACTTTATTTTGAAGATACGCGTTCAATAAAATACAATTGCATCTAACACAATCACCACCTCCCCACCTTTGCTTGC